CACACACACACACACACACACACACACACACACTCACTCACCTGCCAGCGAGGCTTCAGTCCACTGAGAGCTCCTGTGTGTTGAAGGTCCCACCATAACGTGAAGATGACAGCATTCTTCAGCAATAACTTCAGTGAAGACCGCTGGAGGAAGGCAGCGCTGAAGAACGCTTTCTCTCTGCTCGGAAAGCAACGTTTCCAGCATTCAGCGGCTTTCTTTCTGCTGGCCGGATCCCTGAAAGATGCTGTTGAGGTACATTTGCATCTGTTCTGTTTATGTTCTTCTCTGAAACCTTCCTCTGTCATGAGCTTCTGAAACAAGAAGGAAAGTATAAGCATCAGGATTGCAGTCTTTAATCTTCCTATCAGTTCTCATGATCTGTCGGTTTTACTCGCTCGATCAGGTTTGTATAGAGAAGATGCAGGACCTTCAGCTGGCTCTGGTGGTCTGTCGGCTGTATGAGTCTGAGTTCGAGATGTCCTGCAGCTACAAGCGAATCCTGCAGAGGCATGTGTTGGGTCAGGATCACCAGATCGCGGCCCATCAGGACCCGTTCTTACGCAGCATGGCGTACTGGGTCTTAGATGACTACAGCAGGGCTTTGGACACGCTGCTGGAGCCCAATGCAGACACGTCACATGAAGGTGAGAGATGAGACGGACGCTGAGGGGCTTTTCACGCTAGACATCAGAGTTTGGTTCCTCTGGTCTGTGTCGAGCCAAGTCAGCTTTATTTCTACAGCGCTTTATACAATACAGATTGTGTCAAAGCAGCTTCACAGTGATAAACAGGAAAATAACAGAATCGATTAAGGAAACTCGTAGGGCTGCTCGATACATTTTGTTTTATTCATGGTCATGATTTCTGCCTCTCTCTTGATTTATTAAGCATAAACGTCTGCAACCGGCTGGTTATTTTTCCTGAAAACGACCCGTTATCTTGCATTGCATTGCATTCTGTGTGAAAGCGGTTTTCCGAACTTATGCACCAAGGCACTGATCGGGGTTTGATTTATGTGGATTTGCAGTAGATAATCACAGGTGATTATGTGCTAATTTCAAAGTTAAACTAATATGAGTTTAAATATAATTTTGTGTTACCTTATAGCCAAACTGAAAGCAACAACATATAGTTTACCTCAGATCTTGGAAATAAAGCAAAGATGTCCGTTAAAACTGTGAACTCACTGCGAACCAACGAGTGTATTCCATAACAAAGACGGTATCAGTCACTCAGTATGTACATTTAATGATGTTAAAAAGCTTTAATGTTTATGAATTAGATTATAAACGTATCCATTTCGTTGCGAGTGCAGTGCGCTTCTAGAGAGGCTCCGCCCACACTTTTTAAAAATATACACCTGCTTGTCATAAACATCCTTTATTGTTATGAAAATACCATGAGCTGCATAAAACATGTACAGAATATATCGTCACAATCATATGTGACCCGTGCTGGCAAAATGAGTGGGAATGCGCACGGGCTAATTTTGAGCTACAGGCAAAAAAAGTGAAAAATGTTGATTTTGAGGTTTTCACAAAAATTAGTTCATTAAGCCCTCGTCTAGTGATCACAATGCTCCAAATAATAATTATAGATGTTTAATTACCTTAATTTGTACGTTTTCTGAGAGGAGTACCTTTTCTCCGCTCGCTTCTCACGCTGACTGTCATCCGATAGCACGCGATCCCGATACATTATACACTGAATTACAGTATTTAATTATTCACACACACATAGTCTGTTATGTCTTAAGTGAACGTTTGGGGAAAAACATCTGATGTGTAACGTTATATTAGAGTGTAATTAGAGAACCTGTGCGTTTGGCTGTAAGCATTCACGTCAGAACTGAAGTATACTTTGGGCTTAACACTCCGCTTTAACAGAATGTGTTCACCTGTTATCATCCGGTCATGAAATTAGTTAAAATTGGCCAAAACTAAGGGGGCATTGACTGAAAAAGTTTTATGCATTTTGGCCGTGGCGTTTTGGGGGCCTAAAAACACACATTTTTGAAAAGGGGTTTCAAGTGAAAGTTTTTGAAAATAATACTGTTATCGTCTGTGTGTAAACTATAAAAATGCAAATTTGTGAAAACGATGACATTGTGTGCATGCATATATTAGTGGTCGACCGATATATCGGCCGATATTTGGCATTTTTCAAATATCGGCATCGGCCGATAAGTTTTTCTGTTTGGCCGATGCGTTCGAGGCGGGACTTTTATTTTGACGGCGCTGAGAGCGGCAGCGCATATATAACATGTTCAGTCTATAGGCATGCACAAGTTTCTTTTACAAAGTGACGTTGGCAGCTGCTGGCCTGGCATGCATAATACACCGCTGTTAGTTGTATTTGTGGACTTGAAACTTTCCAAAAATGCAAAAGGAATACTTTTTCTGTAGGGCTGCCCTTGACCAAAGATTTTTCTAGTCGACCAATAGTCGTTCATTTTAAGCGATTTGTCGACTAATCGTGCATTTATATTAATAAACCATGTAATTCATAATAATGAGCCTTTAATTGCCTATAGCCTATCAGCGCTCAAGCGCACGCATAAAACTTCCAACAGCACACCGCAGAAGTAATGCGTCAGGGAAAAAACAGCAAGGCCGCCTTAACATTGTAATAATTAATTGATAAACTAGTGTTTTCTGTATTTTCGGCGGCAGTGATGAAGTCGACGACACTGACTCGTCTCCACAGTGGACATGCACGTTTCATACGGATTACATAATCTGAAAATATTTGTTTTCCATTTGAATTGGTTCATTAAAAAAGAAGATATTTTGCTTTCTATAGGTGTGTTTTTCATGTCTGTGAGGCAAGCACAGAGTTTTGGTTCGCTTAAGTTCACAGAGACCGAGACGGCAGAAAGCCCACCCTGTTTGCTCTCATTATTTTACAAAAGCACAACGTTCTGTTGTTATTGAGAGACCTTTTACAGATTCGAAAGATGGATTACTGGATTAAGATGGCAAAAATGATGGAGTATTTTAAGTTAAATGCAAATGATCGCACCGAGTGAGCTCACTACTATTCAGATTCCACACTTGAACAGCGCACGTTTTTCTAGGTTAACGTTAAAGTAACTACTTGCATGTTTCAGATGATAAGCCACATTTGAGGTCGATGAACGAAACGAATGTTTGCATGTCCTGACCGATGTATTAATTACCACACAGACCAGCTGTTAATGATCTGTCCATCACGGACTATGTGACTTCGCCACTCCCTGTGGATTTTTTTTTCCCTAAAATTTTGATCGACTAAGCCTCTTCTTTACGGGGCAGCCCTGCTTGTCTGTTTTGTAGTGCATCACTGTCATGTAAATATACCCATTGTGACGTTTTATGTGAACGTTTCTGATCTGGTTTTGAGTGCCGAGCTCAGGGTTTGCTCAGTTCCTAATGCTCTGAGGCTTGAAACACACTCTCTCTCTCTCACACACACACACACACACACACTGCCTATACCAGCACATGCTCATTTTCTGTTGTTTCTGTCTCCTGGCTGCAGCTGTTGAGCTGATGTCTGGCGCTGTGCATTATTTCATTTGCCCGTGTGAATCATCATTGTGTTTCTCATCAGGACGACAGTCTGCAGATCTCTGCTCCCGCTCCGCAGCACCTGTCTGTTCCTCTTTTCCTTGCGTGGACCGCCAGCTCCAAAACAGTGGTGGCCAATCCCATAGTGCACCTGACCAACCTCACGCACGACATACTGCACACCAGGCTTGAAACACACTCTCTCTCTCTCACACACACACACACACACACACTGCCTATACCAGCACATGCTCATTTTCTGTTGTTTCTGTCTCCTGGCTGCAGCTGTTGAGCTGATGTCTGGCGCTGTGCATTATTTAATTTGCCCGTGTGAATCATCATTGTGTTTCTCATCAGGACGACAGTCTGCAGATCTCCGCTCCCGCTCCGCAGCACCTGTCTGTTCCTCTTTTCCTTGCGTGGACCGCCAGCTCCAAAACAGTGGTGGCCAATCCCATAGTGCACCTGACCAACCTCACGCACGACATACTGCACACCATCAACGCTCTGGACGCGCCTCCGCACCCGGATGTCGTCAGCAACGAGGTGAAGTGTGGCTCATCAGAACGAGGTGTCGTTACTGTCGTGATTCGTCCTCTTAACGCGTCTTCCTTCTGTCTCAGATCTACGTGATGCACACGCTAGCGGCTTCCCTGTCGGCCTGCATCTATCAGTGTCTCTGTGACGGACACAGCTACAGGTGAGTGTGTCTGTCAGCCTCACGATGACCCCGTGACCTCTGCCCTCACTGAGTTGATTCTTTATTACAGAACGTTTCTCTTCATTTGCTGATCTTGTAATCGTTCGGTCTGATAATGAGCGGATGACTCATGAATGTGACGCGTGGCATTTGTAGAGACAGCAGATTCTGCTCAGATAAAATGTGGGCTTTGTGTGGGTCCTTTTGCACATTCATACTCCGTCACGGCAGATTAAATGTGTTTATCAGCCCAAACGTGTTAGAACAGAAGCCTGGATGATTAAAGGGATATTGCGCCCAAAAATGAAAATTACCCCATGATTTACTCACCCTCAAGCTATCCTAGGTGTGCATGACTTTCTTCTTTCAGACGAATCCAATCGGAGTTATATTAAAAAATATCCTGGCTCTTCCAAGATTTATAATGGCAGTGAATGGGTGTTATTTTTAATAGTCCAAAAGAAGTCCAATAAAGCGCATCTATCCATCATTAAAAGTGCTCCACACGGCTCTGCAGGGTGAATAAAGGCCTCTTGAAGCGAATCGATGCGTTTGTGTAAGAAAAATATCCATATTTAAAACTTTATAAACCGTAATCTAATCTCTAGCTTCCGTTAACTGTCGTACGCGTGTTCATTCCGGCGGATGACGTAGGACGTAGCATAAGCTCCGGTGAGAATATGCTAGTCTCGCGAGAACCGACGTTTGTTTACAGGAGCAAAGGAAGAAAAGTTTCCTTACTTTAGCAAAGGAAAACCAGTCTCTCTGGACGCGCCTCCGCACCCGGATGTCGTCAGCAACGAGGTGAAGTGTGGCTCATCAGAACGAGGTGTCGTTACTGTCGTGATTCGTCCTCTTAACGCGTCTTCCTTCTGTCTCAGATCTACGTGATGCACACGCTAGCGGCTTCCCTGTCGGCCTGCATCTATCAGTGTCTCTGTGACGGACACAGCTACAGGTGAGTGTGTCTGTCAGCCTCACGATGACCCCGTGACCTCTGCCCTCACTGAGTTGATTCTTTATTACAGAACGTTTCTCTTCATTTGCTGATCTTGTAATCGTTCGGTCTGATAATGAGCGGATGACTCATGAATGTGACGCGTGGCATTTGTAGAGACAGCAGATTCTGCTCAGATAAAATGTGGGCTTTGTGTGGGTCCTTTTGCACATTCATACTCCGTCACGGCAGATTAAATGTGTTTATCAGCCCAAACGTGTTAGAACAGAAGCCTGGATGATTAAAGGGATATTGCGCCCAAAAATGAAAATTACCCCATGATTTACTCACCCTCAAGCTATCCTAGGTGTGCATGACTTTCTTCTTTCAGACGAATCCAATCGGAGTTATATTAAAAAATATCCTGGCTCTTCCAAGATTTATAATGGCAGTGAATGGGTGTTATTTTTAATAGTCCAAAAGAAGTCCAATAAAGCGCATCTATCCATCATTAAAAGTGCTCCACACGGCTCTGCAGGGTGAATAAAGGCCTCTTGAAGCGAATCGATGCGTTTGTGTAAGAAAAATATCCATATTTAAAACTTTATAAACCGTAATCTAATCTCTAGCTTCCGTTAACTGTCGTACGCGTGTTCATTCCGGCGGATGACGTAGGACGTAGCATAAGCTCCGGTGAGAATATGCTAGTCTCGCGAGAACCGACGTTTGTTTACAGGAGCAAAGGAAGAAAAGTTTCCTTACTTTAGCAAAGGAAAACCAGTCTCCTCTTGGCTTACAAATTTAAATATGATAATAAACAGGTATTATTGTGTTTTATTTTAAATAATTATTTAAATATGAAATAATTATTTTTTTAAATGGAATAATACTCTAAATATGAAAGTAAAATCTCCAGTAGGTGGCAGCGAGTCACTGTCTTAATGAGTGAGTCATTCAGTCAATCATTCAACCGATTCGTTCAAACGCTGATTCATTCAGATACGAAGCAAGTTTCACTGAGTCATTGACTCATTCGATTCGTTCAAACGCTGATTCATTCAGATACGAAGCAAGTTTCACTGAGTCATTGACTCATTCGATTCGTTCAAACGCTGATTCATTCAGATACGAAGCAAGTTTCACTGAGTCATTGACTCATTCGATTCGTTCAAACGCTGATTCATTCAGATACGAAGCAAGTTTCACTGAGTCATTGACTCATTCGATTCGTTCAAACGCTGATTCATTCAGATACGAAGCAAGTTTCACTGAGTCATTGACTCATTCGATTCGTTCAAACGCTGATTCATTCAGATACGAAGCAAGTTTCACTGAGTCATTGACTCATTCGATTCGTTCAAACGCTGATTCATTCAGATACGAAGCAAGTTTCACTGAGTCATTGACTCATTCGATTCGTTCAAACGCTGATTCATTCAGATACGAAGCAAGTTTCACGGAGTCATTGACTCATTCGATTCGTTCAAACGCTGATTCATTCAGATACGAAGCAAGTTTCACGGAGTCATTGACTCATTCGATTCGTTCAAACGCTGATTCATTCAGATACGAAGCAAGTTTCACGGAGTCAGTTCAAACGCTGATTCATTCAGATACGAAGCAAGTTTTACTGAGTCATTGACTCATTCGATTCGTTCAAACCCGTGGATTCATTCAGTAAGGAATCACCGGAGACGCTCAACAGTTCTGCTGTGGCTCTGATTGGAACTATTCATTTGTGAAATTGAACAGAAACAGACAATATTGAGTCTAAAACACAATATGAACGTCTTGTTTACTGAACTATTGTATAAATCACTATCACATTTTGATAGTGCACACAGCTCTCTTGCTGGTGTGATATTGCTAAACTAAATCATATGATATAAGTATAAGAGATTGATTTTAGGCTGATATAACATCAGTGCATTCTAATAGGCTTCATGACGCAGTCAGTCCTGCATCAATGTAAGAAGACGGACAGGTCTGCGTTAAATGTTTTTTCCATAATTAATCGCACCAAATGAACATAGACCTAATTCTAATATGTATGTTTTTCCTCAGCCATGTGAATCCGTTCACGGGCATCACCTACCAGAGCGTCCTGCTTACCCATCAGCCCCCGGTGAGGAGCGTCAGCATCGAGGAGGCCATCCTGCCCAACACCTCTCCTGCGCAGTGGCCTGGTAAAGCACCGTGACCTCTGACCCGCTGATTCATTCAGATACGAAGCAAGTTTCACTGAGTCATTGACTCATTCGATTCGTTCAAACGCTGATTCATTCAGATACGAAGCAAGTTTCACTGAGTCATTGACTCATTCGATTCGTTCAAACGCTGATTCATTCAGATACGAAGCAAGTTTCACTGAGTCATTGACTCATTTGATTCGTTCAAACGCTGATTCATTCAGATACGAAGCAAGTTTCACTGAGTCATTGACTCATTTGATTCGTTCAAACGATGATTCATTCAGATACGAAGCAAGTTTCACGGAGTCATTGACTCATTCGATTCGTTAAAACACTAATTCATTCAGATACGAAGCAAGTTTCACTGAGTCATTGACTCATTCGATTCGTTCAAACGCTGATTCATTCAGATACGAAGCAAGTTTCACTGAGTCATTGACTCATTTGATTCGTTCAAACGCTGATTCATTCAGATACGAAGCAAGTTTCACTGAGTCATTGACTCATTCGATTCGTTCAAACGCTGATTCATTCAGATACGAAGCAAGTTTTACTGAGTCATTGACTCATTCGATTCGTTCAAACCCGTGGATTCATTCAGTAAGGAATCACCGGAGACGCTCAACAGTTCTGCTGTGGCTCTGATTGGAACTATTCATTTGTGAAATTGAACAGAAACAGACAATATTGAGTCTAAAACACAATATGAACGTCTTGTTTACTGAACTATTGTATAAATCACTATCACATTTTGATAGTGCACACAGCTCTCTTGCTGGTGTGATATTGCTAAACTAAATCATATGATATAAGTATAAGAGATTGATTTTAGGCTGATATAACATCAGTGCATTCTAATAGGCTTCATGACGCAGTCAGTCCTGCATCAATGTAAGAAGACGGACAGGTCTGCGTTAAATGTTTTTTCCATAATTAATCGCACCAAATGAACATAGACCTAATTCTAATATGTATGTTTTTCCTCAGCCATGTGAATCCGTTCACGGGCATCACGTACCAGAGCGTCCTGCTTACCCATCAGCCCCCGGTGAGGAGCGTCAGCATCGAGGAGGCCATCCTGCCCAACACCTCTCCTGCGCAGTGGCCTGGTAAAGCACCGTGACCTCTGACCTCTGACCCCTGACCTCATCCTCAGACTCCAGACTCACTTGTGTGTCTGTGCAGGTGTGAGCGTCCTGATGCGGCTGCTGAGCGCGTCCGGAGACGAGAACCAGCCCGGTCTGCCTGTGCTCCTGTGTGAGATCCTGACCGCAGTCTTCCTCAGCCTCTTCGTCCACGGTCTGGCCACTCACTCCAGCCACGAGCTCTTCCGCATCGTCGCTCACCCGCTCAACAGCAGGCTGTGGGTGTCTGTGTTCGGCGGCGGCGCTTGTGTTCCTGTGCTGAAGAAACCCAGCTCACCCACAGGTTCTGCTCTTCTCATGCTGCTGTTCATCTGTCATCTCTCCTAATTAATCACAGCTTTATTTGTGCCAGAACAAGATGGATTCAGCATCTAGTGTAATGAGTGTCACCTCACAAGCCTTCATGAGGTCAAAGGGAAATATATTTTGAACAAGTACAGCTGCAGAATCTCCAAAATTCTTGGTCAGGATTATGTCACAGTATCTCGGTATTATTTGAAATCAGCAACACAATCTGACAGCAGTGGTTAACCTTTGCTTCTTTAGCTAATATGTTGCTAAAAACTGCTAAAGGCTGGTATTTTTTATTTAATACACATTCAAACAAAACTTCCATTATCAAACGTTGCTGTCATCCGAACCCCTTTGAGCTGAAGTATTATCTTAAAGTTCCCCTGAGATTCTAAGTTAATATTTCAATAATTTAACAGAACATTTGCATGTTCACAGTTCTCACGGCTAATGATCACATGACATGCTGATAAACAAATAAAATATTTCATCTTTTTTTTAGAAGGTGTTTTATATTGATTTGTTTTTATTTTTAAATTTGTTTTATTTTTAATTTTAAAAATAATTTATTTTAAATTTTGCATTTTTATGATTAAATTTTTAAGAAGTGTTAAAAACACTTTTTAAACAAACTAAAAAAACGTTTTATTTAATTTTTTATTTTAAAATTATGTGTTTCAGTTTTACATTTCTCTGATTTAATTCATATCTATGAAAGCATATATATGAACGCGCTGTTGCACCTCTGAGAACGTTTAAGGCTTATTCTGTGGCGTTTATATAAGCCTTTTGACGGGTTGTGTCACAGAGCTGTAAAAACGGTTATGCTCACCAAGTGAATGAATTGTGTTTGTGCCGAACTCTTATTACAAAGCAAAAACAAACAC